TTATTTCCCATTCCATTCTTTTAGTAAATGAGCTTTCTTTTGCCTTTACTAAAAGAAATGAGACCCTGTGATGTAAATCCCACCTCTCAAACCCCAAATCTTGTCTCTAATCCTATTTCCCTAAAAGTCTCTGCCTCTCAACTATCTGGTTGAAAGTTTAGGTCATAGGGAAGCAAAACATATTTTCTCTGAAATCAGGAACTTACTAAATCATTGTCTTGCACATTCTTGAAATGCAGAATATTCTGCTTCATTCAACAAGTATTTGTTGAGCATATATGAACAGGTAGCCTCCACCCTGCAGAAGCTCAGCCGTGGTGGTGAGATGGTTGCATTTGCAGATACTAACAGTTCACTAAAACAAGTGGTTAATAAACATCTGCTTCAAGTAAAAAGAGGAAAAGAAAAAAAAAAAGACAGCAAACTCTACCTGCCATTCTATAAACTGATTTTTCCCTTACTACTATAAAGTAGACCTCTGTTCATGTTAATATTTGTAGATCTATGACATCATTTTATTATAGTCAAAAGTTGGAAGCAACCTTAAGGCCCATGTATGGAGGATTAGCTCAATCGGGATAAGTCCCTTAAAGAAAAATTTAAATTAAATTATAAACCCCACTTTAATTTTTTTTAATGTTTAATATTTAAAATTTGTAAGTGTACTTTGATAAATTCACATTTCTATGTTGGGAGGTCTCTCTTTCCTTGGTGATGGACATTATCCCTTTATATACATGTGACAACTGAGAAAGTCTTGTCATCATTTCCAGAATTCTTACTTCAGGGAATTAAAGGTGTTTCCCCTGGGGAAGCCCTGGCTCCGTAACTCTTGTGCCAAAGTGATTTGACAAAACCCACATTAGTAAATGTATGGGGCAAGATGCAAATACGCATCTTTAAATTTAGCATATTGCCCAGTAAAATGGGATTGCATAAGCTATTTGGAAATATTTTAAAAACACAGTTGAAGTAAGTTGTGACGCATGGCCAATACTTGTTAAGATGTAATTGTCATCACGTAAACAAAGACCATGAAGAAGAGATGTTAAATTCTTTGTAGTTTGGATGGAGGATAAAGTTAAGCTGAATGTGAATTATGAACGTGCTGAGAAGGTAACTGCAATGATTATCAGTCAAATCAGTATAAGTTTATATACAGCCATGGTTCTCTGCCATAGCTGCGTGTTAGAGTCACATGGGGAGGTTTAAAAATATTGATGCCTGGGTACCACCCACCCAAGAGATTCTGATTTCATTGACCAGAGATGCAGCCAGGACAAAGGGAGTTTTTGAAAGCTCCCTGGGCAAGTCTAATGCACAGCCAGGGCTGGGAACCTTTGCTCTGCAGAGTGGGATCACAGGCCCAGTGTATTTCTTATGCCAGCCACGCCACCATGTGGGTGGAACAAGCAAACCAGCTCGAATAAGGTGGTTAGAACAGTTTTCTGAATCATTCATGAAATTCTCCCTTCTTACGTTACAAAAGTTTTGTATATTTTCAAGGGTTTTTTTTTTTTTTAAAAAAAAAAAAAGGACAGACAGTAGTATTTGCCCTGCTTTTCTAGTTTATTTGCTTTTTAAAAACTGGACAAATATTTTAAATACATCCTTTAAGAGAACACATCTATGAGGAAAAATTTTGTTTTTTAATTTTTATCCCTTTAAGACCCTTTTAAATCCAGTTTTCAAAATAAGATTTAGAAGCAAGTAATGATGGATTTACAAAATATCCAGGCAGGACTTGCATTTGCAAATCTTGATCCAGAAGCCTGCAGTTTGGGTCTGCAAACAGAGCTTTCTAGAAAACAGTAACAGCTAAACAAATCGCTTAATTTTTTTTCTGTGATTTTTATTTATTTAAATTGTTGAAATGGTGTATGACTGTGTGTATTTTCACCTATATATATATATATATATATATACATATATATATATTAACCACTTACCTCATGAACTGCTGTTGTAGAGCAAGAAGGTGCTTATTTTGATAAAAGAAAAAAATTGTCAGCTTCACATTACAGCTTCCAAAAATCAAAGCTCTTGTCAGAAAAGGGCATGCCTCCATTTAGCAAAGTAGGTCCATTTCTTTCATTGACCAAAGGTCTTTTATGGTTTTAGTGTAGAAACTATATTTTCATGCAAAGGAATGTATTGGAAAATTTCATTTTAAAACACTGAACATGTAAAACTAATTGCTTCAGTTGGTGAGCATAATTAAAAAGGCGTTTCTGTCTGTTCCCCAGAATGTCTTGAAATTATTTCCAGAAGAAGTTTTAAAACTCTAGAAAACCAGGGAGCAAGAGACGTTGAACGTGTATGTCTTCATTACCTAGAAGAAATTCCATCAAGTGTAAACATGTTTTGGCTTTGGTTCTTTAGAAGGAATAGTCCAGTCACTTGGAACTTCCTAGCTGGTGAGCCACAATACATTGGAGTGCTGCAGATGGGTCAAACCTGTGCCAAGACATTGACCCTCACCAGCTTTGGGGTAGCTAGGTAGGGCATGGGGTGATTGGAACACCCCCTCCCAGGGCTGGTCAGCCTCCTCCATTTATTCTGTTTTCTACATTTGCCATGGTGTGACAAAAGTTAAGAAGCAGCTCTGGAAGATGGTTGAGCTCACTGCAGAGCCAGGGGAGGAAAGGATGTTTTCCTGACCGTATTTAATATTGACGTCATTGTTACTGTGGTGATGGGAATCCAGCCTAATGAGCCTCAATGGCTAACTGAGCCTAAATGATAAACAACAGTTTTTAGAAATTACTGCAATTGAGGTTACTTTTATCTAAAGCATGGGAGGGGGAAATGGAGGGCCAGGAGGAGGGGATACCTAGAGGACAGGAAGAGAGAAATTAGGCAATAGAGAAAGGAAAACCCGTGGGGCTTCACTGAAGAAACTTAGGTTCATAATCTATAAAACCAAGTCAGTTGCTGTCAAGTCAGTTGCGACTCCTGGTGACCACATGTGTGTCAGAATAGAACTGTGCTCCATAGGCTTCTCAGTGACTGATTTTTCTGAAGTAGATGGCCAGGCCTTCTTCTGAGGAGCCTCTGGGTGGACTAGAACCTCCAACCTTTCAGTTAGCAGCCAAGTACATTAACTATTTGCATTACTCAGGGACTCCCTCATAACCCACAACCCAAACCAATAACCAGTTGTTGTCGAGTCAACTCTGACTCCTGGTGACCTCTTGTGTCAGAGTAGAACTCTGCTCCATAACATTTTCAATGGCTGATTTTTTGGAAGTAGATCACCCAGGTGCTTCTAGGTAGACCTGAACCTCCAACCTTTTGGTTGACAGCCGAGCTGCTTACTACTTGCATCACCCAGGGACCCCTCATAGCCCTTTTAAAAAAAAAATGCCATTGAGTTGATTCCAACTCATAGTGACCCTATAAGACAGAGTGGAATTGCCTCATGGGGTTTCCAAGGGTGTAGTCTTTATGGAGCCCTAGTAGGGCAGTGGTTAAGAACTCAGCTGCTAACCAAAAGGTCGGCAGTTCGAGTCCACCAGCCACTCCTTGGAAACACTGTTGGGCAGTTCCTGTAGGGTCACTATGAGTTGGAATTGACTGGACAGCAGTGGGTTTGTTTTTTGTTTTGTTTTTTTATCTTTATGGAAGCAGACTGCCAGCTCTTTCTCCTGCAGAGCAACTGGTGGGTTCGAACCGCTGACCTTTTGGTTAGCAGCCAAGTGCTTAACCACTGCACTACCAGGGCTCCTTAGAGGTAGGTTTGTTATTAGGCGCCATTAAGTCAGTTCCAACTCATAGCGACCCTATGTACTACAGAACGAAACACCGCGCTGTCCTGTGCCATCCTCACAATCCTTGCTATGCTTGAACCCATCATTGCAGCTTCTGTGTCAGTCCGTATTGTTGAGGGTCTTCCTCTCTTTTGCTTACCCTCTGCTTTACCAAGCTTCATGTCCTTCTCCAGGGACTGGTAGGTTAGGGGAAGCTCAAACACTCAGATCAGATCCTGGGCCCAACAAAGCGGAAGGTGTGCATATGGTTATATTATAACCAGTGAGGCAGCACAGAAGAGGTTAGAAGAAACTAAACAGTTTGTAAGGATGCTCCTTGAAAGAATAAGTAGATCCTACTGTTGTTAGGTTGATTTTATGATCAGATCTGTGTTTGAAGGTAGCACTGTGAAGAAAATCTAAAACAGTTTATATGTGTGAACATATAAGAGTGGGTTTCCTAGGATTTTAGTAATCCCTTAAAAAAACAAAACCCACTGCCGCTGAGTCAATAGAACAGAGTAGAACTGCCCCATAAGGGTTTCCAAGGAGCAGCTGGTGGATTTGAACTGCCAACCTTTTCGTTAGCAGCCAAGCTGTTAACCACTGTGCCACCAGAGCTCCAGTAATCCTTTACTCCTTTTATAATAGATAACAGCTGCTCTGATTTTTTGAGCACCTGTTTTAAATCCGGCACTGGGTACACATATTCTGTCATTTAATATTCATGGGAGTGCTGCAAGGTAAGTATTAATTATTATACAGATAAGAAAATGAGGCTTTAAGTGGCCAGGCAGATTATTTGAGGTCAGTTATCTCCTAAATTGCAGAAATGGGATTCAACCTCAAGTTTATTCTGCTTTTAAAGTCCAGCAGATTTCCTCCTTGCAGACTGCCTCCCCTTATGGTATCCAGAGAGAGAACGTGCCTCTTCCCATTTTATTACCTACACACGTGCACAATGTGGGGAACCTCTTGTAATGCATGATATAAACCCAACTCATTGTTTGTCCCATCCCCAAAAATACACCGGGAGTTAGAAGCTCCCTCATAGACTGACAGGTGCTTGGGTGCTCACCCTGTAGTGGAACAGATTCTGGTTGTTCTCACTCTTTCATCCTGTCTGCAGTGAACAGCCTGTCCGACTGCTGCATGCTTAAAAAGCCATGTCCACAACAGCCTTGAAGCTCGCTTGGCACCCCAGTCACTCACTCACTCACTCATTCATTCTGTGTCCTTGTTTTTTTCCAGGTCAGCTACGCCTCCTCCAGCCGACTCCTCAGCAATAAGAATCAGTTCAAGTCCTTCCTCCGTACCATCCCCAACGATGAACACCAGGCCACGGCCATGGCAGACATTATCGAGTATTTCCGCTGGAACTGGGTGGGCACAATTGCGGCTGATGATGACTATGGCCGGCCAGGGATTGAGAAGTTCCGAGAGGAAGCTGAAGAGAGGGACATCTGCATTGACTTCAGCGAACTCATCTCCCAGTACTCGGATGAGGAAGAGATCCAGCAGGTAGTGGAGGTGATCCAGAATTCCACGGCCAAAGTCATTGTCGTTTTCTCCAGCGGCCCAGACCTTGAACCCCTCATCAAGGAGATCGTCAGGCGCAATATCACGGGCAGGATCTGGCTGGCCAGTGAGGCCTGGGCCAGCTCCTCCCTGATAGCCATGCCCGAATACTTCCATGTGGTCGGAGGCACTATTGGATTCGGCCTGAAGGCAGGGCAGATCCCAGGGTTTCGGGAATTCTTGCAGAAAGTACATCCCAGGAAGTCTGCCCACAATGGTTTTGCCAAGGAGTTTTGGGAGGAAACATTTAACTGCCACCTCCAAGAAAGTGCTAAAGGACCCTTACCTGTGGACCCTTTACTCAGAGATCACAAAGAAGGTGGCAGCAGGTTAAGCAACAGCTCCACTGCCTTCCGACCTCTCTGTACAGGGGATGAGAACATCAGCAGTGTCGAGACCCCTTACATGGATTACACACATTTACGGATATCCTACAATGTGTACCTGGCAGTCTACTCCATTGCTCATGCCCTGCAAGATATATACACCTGCTTACCTGGGAGAGGGCTCTTCACGAATGGTTCCTGTGCAGATATCAAGAAAGTTGAGGCTTGGCAGGTAAGTCCTTAACTTAGATAACAGTTCTCTATGTGATGAAGTGGAGCCCTGGGTGGTGCAAATGGTTAATTTACTTGGCTGCTAATCGAAAGACTGAAGGTTCGAGTCCACCCAGAGGTGCCTCAGAAGAAAGGCCTGGTGATCTACTTCTGAAAAATCAGCCATTGAAAACTCTGTGGTGCACAGTTCCACTGTGAGACACATGGGGTCACCGTGAGTCAGAATCAACTCAAAGACAACTGGTAAACTGGTGTCATGAAGCAGAGTTGGGCTGATCCAGGCAAAAAAGATAAAATGGTTACCTCAAAAAGGCAGTATCTAAATGAGGCCACTAAATGTAGTTTTTGATTCAAACTACCTTTTCAAATATCTGAGCAACTGACTTCTGCAAAATAGATAGTAATTTCATTTGATTCTCTGTTTAAGGTCCTGGCTCAACTTTTCTTTAGTCTGGTTCAAAGGACTTAAAATGTGGCCCCTGAAGGTTTTCACATGCCCTGGAACAGATTTAGTATTGAGCAGGGTGTTTTTCTAATTCCTAAAGATATTGCTCCCTTGAGAGTAACAAGTTTTGTTGAGTACCTATTACATTTCATACAGTAAGGGGCATGAAGCTAGTGAGACTGTGTTCATTCCCCACTCACAGCTCTGCTGGACCACCCAACAGGCCAGCTAAGCACGAGCTGAGGACACAAGAAAACCAAGAGCACATAAAGGATCTCTTCTTAAAAGCATTTATCTTGGATATTACAAAATGAAGCACTGAAATAGTTATCACAGAAAAAATTTAGAACTTAGGTGGAGTTTCTACACTTATTTTGTAGTGTCTAAGCAAAAAGTGTCTAAGCAAAAAATTATAGCTAGAACAACTTGGTATATAGAACCTAGCCACCACAGACCTCTAGGAAAAGATACCAAGAAACAAAGAGTGTACAACTTAAGACTGACATTGTAGGGATTTTCCTGGGATGAGAAGGAGAGACTGTCTGGACTGGTAGGGTGAGGCAGGACTTGCCAGTTCTCGGCCCTTCTTTTATGGGAAAATCTTGCTCAGATGTCATTGTTGGCTAAAATTTCTAAAGTCTGTGGTATTCTCAAAGCTTCCTTCCTCCTACTGCAACCCCACCCTCGCAAGGAAAGAGGAGTTTAATGAAAGTCAAAGACTAAAAGGACTTCGGAAGCCACGATGCTAAGGTGTGGAATTTTAAGAAGGAGGAATAAAGGGACAGTCTTTGGGTGGTAATTACTATTCTCTCTCTTTCCTCTCATCCCTTCCATGTCTCTTGGAAGGAGGGGCCTAGCTGTTGAAGAGCCTGAAGGACCAGGGTGGGGTTGAAGGGAAAAAGAGGCTTCCGGAGGGCAGTTTTAGCCAGTTCTGCTCTTTAATGACTCCCCTCCCAGACAAGGAAGTAAGATCCAGATGGGCAAGGCCTATGAGAAAGAAGTCAAGAGTTATGCTATAGTCAGCATTGGGACTTTTAGCTGCATACAATAGAAAACCCAAACCAAACTGGCTTAAATAGAAAAAGGAAATTTAATGGCTCATGACACTGACAATTTCAGAAATATTCCAGGTACAACCAGATTCTTTCTTTCTTTCTTTTTTATTGTGCTTTAAGTGAAAGATTACAATTCGAGTTAGTCTCTCATACAAAAATTTATACACACATCGTTATGTGACCCTAGTTGCTCTCCCTGTACTGTGACAGCACACTCCTCCTTTCCACCCCCCGTTTTCCCGTGTCCATTCAACCAGCTCCTGACCCTCTCTGCCTTCTCATCTCACCTGTGGGCAGGAGCTGCCCATTTCGTCTCATGTATCTACTTGAGCTAAGAAGCACACTCTTCACGAGTATCATTTTATGTCCCATAGTCCAGTCTAATCTTAGTCTGAAGACTTGGCCTCAGGAATGGTTTTAGTTTTGGGCTAACAGAGAGACCAGGGACTATGTCTTCCGAGGTCCCTCCAGTCTTAGTACAACCATTAAGTCTGGTCTTTTTACTAGAATTTGAGTTCTGCACCCCACTTTTCTCCTGCTCAGTCAGGGACTCTCTGTTGTGTTCCCTGTCAGGATAGTCATTGGTGGTAGCCTGGCACCATCTAGTTCTTCTCATCTCAGGCTGATGGAGTCTCTGGTTTATGTGGCCCTTTCTGTCTCTTGGGCTAATATTTTCCTTATGTCTTTGGTATTCTTCATTCTCCTTTGCTCCAGGTGGGTTTGGACCAATTGACACATCTTAGATGGCTGCTTGCTAGCTTTCAAGACCCCAGACGCCACTCACCAAAGTGGGATGCAGAACATTTTCTTAATAAACTTTGTTATGCCAGTTGACCTAGATGTCCCCTGAAACCATGGTCCCCAGACCCCCGCCCCTGCTACTCTGTCCCTCGAAGTGTTTGGTTGTATTCAGGAAAATTTTTAGCTTTTGGTTTAGTTCAGTTGTGCTGACTTCCCCTGTAGTATGTATTGTCCTTCCTTTCACCTAAGATAATTTTTGTGTACTCTCTAGTTAGTGAATATCCCTCCCCCTTCCCTACTCACCCTCCTAACTATCAAAGAATGTTTTCTTCTGTGTTTAAACCTTTCTTGAGTTCTTATATTAGTGGTCTTATATAATATTTGTCCTTCTGTGACTGACTAAATTCACTCAGCATAATGCCTTCCAGATTCCTCCATGTTATAAGATGTTTCACGGAGTCATCATCGTTCTTTATTGTTGCATAGTATTTCATTGTGTGTATGTACCATAACTTGTTTATCCATTCATCCGTTGATGGGCACCTAGGTTGTTTCTGTCTTTTTGCTATCATGGACAGTGCTGCAATGAACATGGGTGTGCATATATCTATTCGTGCGATGGCTCTTATTTCTCTAGGATATATTCCAAGGAGCAGGATTGCTGGATTGTATGGTACTTCTATTTCTAGCTTTTTAAGGAAGTGCCAAATCGATTTCCAAAGTGGTTGTACCATTTTACATTCCCACCAACAGTGTATAAGTGTTCCAGTCTCTCCACAACCTCTCCAACATTTATTATTT